ATGACATGGATAATAGCGCGTTGTGACAAACACCAGATACAGCACTGGGACTTGATCAACAGCCGATACCGCACCGTGACGTCACAAACCAGTAGGTGGCAGTAGTGTTCTTTGACAAACATGGATGCCTCCAGTAAAGCACATTCACATGGAAATTACTCTGAATTAAAAACACTGATAATTTATTGAACAGTATGTTATAATTTCATATTTAAAGTACTTTCAGAAGTTTGAATTCTGAATATGAGCGGACTTTTCCTTTAAAAGTTTTCTGTGAAGGTTGAGCAGTTTGTTTTTAATCCAGAGAGCTTCTGCAGAAGCTCATATCATCCGATTGCCCAGGAAAAGGCCTGTAGGTGTTATTTAGCGTGGGCGGACGAAATGTCAGGGTGGGACACTTCTGAACGGTTTGCAGTAAAATGTCAAATAATACATCAAGCTGCAGCGGCAGTATGGAACATATTGGCCTATTTGCTGGGAGAATGGTCCGTCAAGCCAAGTTGGCAGAACCGAAGGAGGATTGACACACATTTTCCATGCTGGTCTCTGTGCTGCAAACACTTTATTTTTGCTGCTTCTGCATCTTTTTCAATGTTCGTGTGGAAAATGTCATTCCTTATCGTTAATATCCAGCTGGGATTTACCCCATAGCGTTATGACACCCAGACAAAACAAAAGCTTAAAACAAGTTAAATAAACAAACATAATAAGTGAATTATAATTAAAGTTGAATGTTTTTTCTTGCCTTTGAACCACAGTGTTACACAAGCTGTCAGTGTTGGTTACATAGAAATTTAAGGCAAATATAATTTTAAAATATTTTATTAATCCCAAGGCAAGGGAAGGCAAGTTAAATTTATTTGTATAGCACAATTCAGTACAAAGACAATGCAAATATTGTCATAGCTTATAGGTTTTTTTTTGTTGTTTTTACTAAATGAGTTTTTCTTGGTGTTGATAGCTGTATGTAGGAAAGATCTTCTGTAGCGGTCAGTTTTGCACAGAATCTAGGGAAGTCTTTGACAAATGACACTCAGTTATGTAAAGATTTTTTGAAGAGGATCCTCACAGTTGTATGGAAGCCCATTTCCGCCACAAGAAAATAAAAAAATGGCAAATAGAATGTCATAATTATGAGATTCAAAGTCTTAATCTTGACTTTTTAAGTCATAAATATTAGATTCAGTCATAATTTAGCCCTTGAAAGTCATAATTATTACTTACAAAGTCATAATTATGAGATGCAAAGTAAGGATGGAACTGTTTATGAAAACCGTCCGAACTGTCCGGTTGGACTGTCTCGGTTCGGGTCGCGTGTGTTGCGTTCAGTTCGTGCGCTGCTCCTTTTTCTCATAGGCGAAGCGTTTACACTCCAGAGCAGAAGGTGGCGGTACTGCGACCAAAGCCAACCACCAGTAGTAAACAAGAAGAAGAAGTGAAGCAGCGTAGCCGGGTGTAGCAGAAAAAAATTTGTTGTTGTGGAGAATTGTGTGGGTATGGCGAGTGGGAAAGAACAGGAGTTGGAAGACGC